TTGTTCTGACCTTGCTGTGGGTTAAAGGACACCAACCTGAGAAGAAATCTGTTTATCATGTGGGGAATTCATGCCATCCTTGACAGTGTACAGTGAGCAAGATGGATGATCTGCCAAATTGGTCCCTCGCTTGGGTGAATCAGGGCAAATTTACAGTACAATTCCTCTGCTGCTTCAGATACAAAAATAACATTTGCCAGGTTTTATATCTAGTTGTACGATGACCTGGAGGTGAGCAGAGAGAAGAAATCCGATTTGTAGGATTCAGATCGCCTTCAAGATTTATATGGACCGTTTCTGCCGTTTACCTCTGCCTCTCTCACGTCTTTCACAAGCCAGTGTTTGTTTTTTTTATTTTTAACCTGATTTTCCGTGTTGAGCACACAGCTTTATGTGATGGTAGAACTCTGTACTGGTTGAGGACAATAGATGGGTTTATTGCAGTTGTTTTATTTGGGATTTTATCTTTCTAGGTATTTTTATAAAATATCTCTTGTACTTGGAATACACTTTCCATCCTCTTGAATTCAGAATAGGTTGTTATACTGGATATCGTATGTCCAGTGAAGGACACTCCAGGTATATGATCTGTTGAAATTCAGTTATTCCAGGATTTTCCCCCATGATCCAGTGATTGAGACTTCACCTCCCAATGTGGTGGGTGGGGGGTGAGGCAGGGGTGGCTGGCCTGGTGAGATGCAGGTTTGGTCATTGGTTGGGGAGCTCGGATCCCACATGCCCTGAAAAAAAACCCAAAACATAAAGCAGAAACAATATTTTGACAAATTCAATAAAGACTTTTTTTTTAATTGTCCACTTAAAAAAAATAAAATCTTTAAAAAAAAAAAAAGGAATTCAGCTACTCCTCGGTGTTACATTTTCTTTAGTCGGTCCCGGGTATTTGGGGGCCGACATGTGCTGGTGTTCACTGCATGGCCCGGCCTCACACGCTGTTGTCTCTGGAGCCACAGAGCCCACGTGACAGTGCCTGGCCTGGCCCCTCACCCATGGTGCCGTGGGGTCTCACCATGTGCCCATGCCTGGTGGGGGGAGAAACTGCACCCAGACTCCAAGCCGAAGGCAGCTTTTACCCCGTGGGTAGGGCCTCAGTGCTCGGTCACTGTGCATCTTCTCTATGTTTGGAAATGAGGAACTGTGGAAGCCTTTATTCCTGGCACCCCTAACCGGAGTGGGTGTCAGGTTTTACAGGTTCTGCTAACAGAGGCCAGAAGGGACCCCTCGCCAACAGAGCACGGTGCCCTCCCCCCACCAGGCACCTCCAACAAGACAGCCCCTTCTGAAGAAAGGAGAGCGTGGGACCTGACTACCCACACTGGCCCTGTCTCTTCTGGTCTTAGTGACCACCTGGTGTAGACAGACGAGAGCTGGGCTTTCAGAATCCTATCCTGGGGTCTGACAGAGAGCGGGTGGGTGCTCCTCTTCCTTTGGTTCTCTCTGTGGTCACTGTGGAGCCCTCCCGGTCATCGTAAGAACGGACCTGGGGTCCCCGCTCAGCCGTAGGTCCCTGGGGGCCTGCAGCCAAGGCCTTAGGTCTCTTCTTCAAGGGTCTTCATCGCTGTGGTGACCACACATTGCAGACAACCCTCAATTAAAATATGTCCATTCACTTTGTGCTGGAAATTATGGATAAAATAAATACACAAATTATAATATACTCAAGATGCTTCTGAATTATAGAATTAAGGGGTTCTGTGGGAAGGAAGTCATGACAGTGATTAATAGGGCACACTTTTTTTAATAGAATGCCCTTTATTGAGTCTTCAGAAAAATTCTGTTTAAACCCCTGCTTTTACTTCTTTCATTGTTATTATTTTTATTTTTTTAATACAGAAAGAAAATAAAAGGTTAATTCTCGGTCACAATTCATTTGGATCCATAGACTGCCATACTGTCTCCTTTTTAAACAGACGTCTACTTAATAATTCCTAGATAAGGAAAGGAGGTGCACATAGGGAAAGACCGCCATTCTCAGCCTCGGGTTTCCATGTGCTCTCATTCCAGAAAGCACTCCAAAGACCTCTGCCAGCTGCAGCCCTGCACCTGAGTCACCCATGAGCTCCAGCGAGTCAGTGAAGAGTCTGACTGAACTGGTCCAGCAGCCCTGCCCCTCCATCGAAACGAGTAAGGATGGCAAACCTCCAGAACCCAGTGATCCGCCCGCCTCAGACTCCCAGCCTGCCACCCCACTGCCTCTCTCCGGACACTCAGCGCTCAGCATTCAAGAGCTGGTGGCCATGTCTCCAGAGCTGGACACCTACGGCATAACCAAGAGGGTCAAGGAGGTGTTGACCGACAACAACCTCGGTAAGTTCCCTCCCCGGCTGCTAAGTCAAGAGGCGGCAGGCCGTTTCCTGTTGGGGGTTTTCAGGAGGAGTGGGTGGAAGGGGCCTCAGGCTGGGCCAGCCAAAGGGTTTAAATGTTCCCAGGCTATCTACGGGAACCTAAAATGTCCTACAGTTGTGAGCAGCAAGGATTCCTAAGCGTGTTAGAAGTCTAAGGTCAGCCCCAGCCCACCCCTGCACCCCCACTGGGACCTCTTGGAAGACAGGCATGCCGGCCAGAGTCTGACCACCAATTGCCCAAAGGCGCTCTAAATCCTGGGGGGTGAGGGGATGCAGAGTAAGGAAGAGTCAACATGAGCCCAGCAGCTTCTGGTTGGTGTCTCTGACCCAAAGTGGGGACCAAATTAGCAAATTACAGATGAAGCAGGCAGCTTGGTCAAGACCCAGGCATCCTCTTAACATTTGACCTGGGATCTTGGCGTGTTCATGTTCATGTGTTAGTCTCTCAAAGTCATAGCAGAATGTGTGTGTGTGCATTTTAAAGGGTGAGGGTTAGTAGCTTTCATCATGCTCTCAAATGTATCTGTGACTCCCAAAATGACTGAGAGCCACTGCTATGAAACCTCTAAAAGTAATACACATAATTTTCTGAAAATAATCACTTGATTCCCCCCAACACCCGCCTCCCACTACAACGGGGTGGATCAAGCAAATAATAACTAGTTGTTCATATATGTCACTTTCCTGAACATAACAAGCTCCTTGGAATGAAATGAGATTGACTTGCCAGATTAGAATTAAGTAAAATTTATTTAAAACAACCACAGTAACAACAACAAATGGTAAGGGGACTTCCCTGGTGGCCCAGTGGTTAAGAATCTGCCTTTTGGTGCAGGAGACTTGAGTTCAATTTCTCGTCAGGGAACTAATATCCCACACGTGCCGCAACGAAGACCCAGAGCAGCCAAACTTTTTTTTAATCTTTTAATAAAAAAAAATTTTTTTTAATGGTAAGGCCCTGGGATGTTTATAGGCTAAACTGAGAGTTTGAAAAGCAGAAAAACCTCAGATTTCCAAAATCAGTAAATGTTGGGGTTGGTAAAAATGTTAGGCTCAGTTAAAATGACTGATATCAAAAAAACTTATTTTCTCAAATCCAAAACTTTGCATGCAGTAAACTTTTACTTGGAGCCCCACTACTTACAAGGCAGTGCTCTTTTAGCTACCCTGTGAGTGCGGTCGGGGGTGTTCCCCTCTCACAGATGGAGGCTGTAAGCTGAAGGGGGAATAAGCCAATCATCAGGGTCACCCTCAGGCTTCCCAGGTGCCTCAGTGGTGAAGAGTCCGCCTGCCAAGGCAGGAGACCTGGGTTCGATCCCTGGGTCAGGAAGATCCCCTGGAAAAGGAAATGGCAACCCACTCCAGTATTCCTGCCTGGAAAATCCCATGGACAGAGAAGCCTGGCGGACTACAGTCTGTGGGATCGCAGAGTCGGACACGAGTGAGCACGCACGCTGGGTCACCCCACACTGAGGGGCAGAGCCAGTGTCGTGGTCCGGAGGCTTTATGGTACCAGACACCAGCCTCTGATCCCAGTCTCCACGTCCACTCAGAGTCCAGTGCCTTTCAGTCCTCCTGTCAGGTCCTTCCAGTTGTGCCTGGTCCTCGTTTGTGCCTTTCAAAGTGCTGGCCCCTCTTCACCTGCAACTGAATGGCTCTCAGAGAAGAGAAATCTTCCTTTCAAGCCTCTGATGAACACTGCAGACCTAACGCCACTGTGCTCTCCAGAGCGCAGTACCCTCTGATCAGCCCAGGGAGCAGGCTACTTGAACTGCAGGGACAGACTTCAGAGCTGGAAATGGCCTGCTTGTCAGGAAAATAAAGCTGAGGAGCTATTTCTCCTTCTCTTTCCTGCTGTGACCTTGGGTCAAGTGGCCTGTTTTCTCAGCAAGCCCCGATAACCTTGCTAATCGTGAAAGGAGCCGGTGCAGACGGCCCGGTTTGAGGCTCTGAAAGAGAGGTCACCCCATGAGCTACTTAACCTCCTGAGCTCGGGTTTGGGATTAGCCACCTCTGATAGACGCAGCAGGTGTTGTGCGGGCCTTGGTTCATCCAAAACCCAAAAACTCTTTCTTAGAGAAACCTTGTGCGTAAGCAGAATGCAAGAGGAATACTGACTCCATCACCCATGGAGGTTGTTGGCAAGTCTGGTTGAGGAAGTGCTTCTAAGAAGCGCTTGCTCAGGACTTCCTCAGTGGTCCAGTGGTTAAGACTCAGAGTTCCCAATGCAGGGACATGTGTTAGATGCCTCGTTGGGGATCTAAGATCCTGCATGCCACATAGCTTAGCCAAAAAAAAAAAAAAAAACTGCTTTTGCTAAACCCAGAACTGATAAGATTCTGGGTCTCGAACCCCCGTTTCTGATTTCACTCTGACCTACTTGTCCTGCCAGCTTCCTGAGTCTCAGCAATGACACCTCTCCTGGTTCTGTTCTTTCTCCAGGTCAGCGCTTATTTGGGGAGACCATCCTGGGGCTCACCCAAGGCTCCGTCTCTGACCTCCTTGCTCGCCCCAAGCCCTGGCACAAGCTCAGTCTGAAGGGACGGGAGCCCTTTGTCCGGATGCAGCTGTGGCTGAATGACCCCAACAACGTGGAGAAGCTGATGGACATGAAACGGATGGAAAAGAAAGGTAACTCCCTGCCCCAGCCCCAGCCCATTGCTTTCTCATTTATAAACCCACTGTTGCTGTTAAAGCTTTCACACCGAGCTGATGAGGGACACTGATCCATGACCAAGGGGCTGTAAGGCAGGGTGAAGGATTTCTTGACAGTCATCTGCCAATGAGTACCTAAAAGGACTGGAGAGATTTGTGGGTTTTTTCTGCCTCAAGACCTGAACCCAAAGACATTTAGCACCAGAGGGTACTTTGATAATTCCTCAGTCGCCCTGGCGGCCAGTGTAGCTTTCTCTTCTTTGGGAGAGTAAGGCCACTTGGTGTTGGCTCTTTTGTTTTGCTGGGTGGGTGGGGTATTGCAACATTTCATTGCACATGCACCATCATGGCAGGGCTTCCACATATTATCCTATCAAAGAGATCGTTTAAAAATGCATTTGTAGGGCTTCCCTCGTGGCTCAGTGGTAAAGAATCCACCTACCAATACTGGAGACAAGCATTTGATCTCCAATCTGGGACGATCCCACGTGCAATGGAGCAGCTAAGCCCTTGTGCCCCAACTACTGAGCCTGCACTGTAAGCCTGGGAGCCACAGCTACTGAAACCCACGTGCCCTAGAGCCTCTGCCCCGAAACAAGAGAAGCCACCACAGTGGGAAGCCCGTGCACCTGGAGAGTAGCCCCCACTCACTGAAACTAGAGAAAGACCCCACAGCAGAAACAAAGACCCAGCATCGCCAACAATAAATAAATAAAATTATTTAAAAAAAAAAAAAGATTAGCAAAAAGTATCCTATGAGAACCATTTGGCGTTATGAAGTTTACAGTAAGGAGCATTGTATGTTTTTGTTTTTAATGCATTTATAAAGAAGAAGACTAGCTCAGAGAAGTTAGCTGTCTCCATGAAGGCCGCCTACCTGGAGGATGGCAGAGCAAGTTCCTGCAGAACAGACCTCTCTCTTGCTATTATAGTCTCCAGGGCTTATAGAGGGTAAGGCCTCCCAGAGGACTAAGAGCAACTCCTTTCTCCAGACACATCGGAGCCCCCTCGATGCTGAGCGCAGGCTACAAATCCGAAGGGGTCTCTTTGACGACAGAAAGGAACTCCTGCCCTGTCTCGTGGCTCACACTCCACGTGCCACCCCTTGAAAGGGACAGTCCTGGGTTGCCTGTACTGCTGCGAGCTCACTTGATGGCTGATAAACCCCTCAGGTGTGGAGAGTGGGCACCGGCTGCCGGTCTGGCCACAGGAAGCTGTGACCCTGCCCATCAGTGTCTGCAGGGGACCTCACCAGAGAGTGGGTGTCATGACCACCCATGGGACTGTGCTGACCCCATGCCTAGCACGCCTGAGCTGGGGGGTCAGGGGGGAGCCCAGGCTCCTACCCCCTGAACTCACCTCCAGCTGAAGCACCGCTGTCCTCACCAACCAGGAAAGGGCTCCAAGAAAACATGAGAATCTCTGATGCTGGCTCTGTGGAGCTGGGCTCCGAGAAGACGCAAGAGCCTCTGGTGCCAGTCCTCATGTGACCATAGAGCTTGCAGTTCCTAAGTGCCTCCTGTCTCCAGACACTGTGCCGAGACTTCATTCAGCCCACGTCACTCCATCTCGTACAGATGTTGTTATCTAGGAAACATGAGGCTCCGGCATTATGAAACTTGCCTGATTTCCAGACTCTTGAAAGCCCCTTGAACAGTAAGGAGATCAAACCAGTCAATCCTAAGGGAAATCAACCCTGAATATTCATTGGAAGGGCCAATGCTGAAGCTGAATCTCCAGTACTTTGGCCACCTGATGCGAAGAGTAGACTCATTAGAAAAGATCCTGATGCTGGGAAAGATTGAGGGCAGGAGGAGAAGGGGACGACAAAGGATGAGATGTTTGGATGGCATCACCGACACAATGGACATGAATCTGAGCAAGCTCCAGGAGATGGTGAAGGACAGGGAAGCCTGGTGTGCTGCAGTCCATGGGGTCACAAAGAGTCAGACACGACTGAGCGACTGAACAACAAAACTTGGGCTGTCAGCCTTCACAGCCGATGCTCTGAGATTGTTCTGCTGCCCTGTGCCAAGTGCCAGCTACACTGGGACCACAAGCCCACACATCGGCTTCCATGCCAGCCAGGGCCATCCGGTGGACTCCTGCCCTACCTGCCCTCGATGGCCAACCAAGGCCCTGTCACAGGCTGCAGCCGCAGGCCAAGCTCCAGAGGCTTGGTGCTGTGTCAACCCCCCCCCCCACCAAAAACTTTTTTATTTATTTATTTATTTTTTTTACTTTTTCCTTTTTTATTCTGGGAAATTTCAGACATAAAAGTAGAGAGAATGGTATCATGAACCCAGTATATCCATTTCACGGTTTCAGCAACTCAGCAGAGCTTGCCTAGGCAGCTTTAAAGCTGTGCGTCCTCTGTCAGAAGGCAGCGCCCTCCCAACAGCCACCTCCTGAGCAGGGCCCTGGGCCCACGGCTCCCTGCTGTGACCCTCCTCCTGGGCCAGCAGAGCGGGACCTGGGCGCCCCAGGCAGATCTCCAGGGGCCTCCTCGGCCACCGCCTGTCTCCTGCACAGGCTCTCAGCGCCATCTTGTGTCCCAGAAGAGTTACTGTTCCACTGGGGCCCAGGCCCCTCCGCATCCCAGTCCCTAAGCAGCTGGGCCTGCTGTCCTCTCGCCCGAGTGGGACTGCTCACTGACCAGCCCCAGTGGGAGGCATCTGGCCCCTCGGATACAACAGTGGATGATCCCGGGCCCAGCACTTCCTGTGATTTCCACAGACTGTCGGTCACCCGCCCAACTTGAAGGGTCTGGTGGAACAGACCAGGCCCATTTCTTTCTGGCCTCTGACTCTTACCACATTCATTTTGGGGGGAGATTTGCTTCTCCGTTGTTTGAGTTCTAATCATAGAATGGCACCTTAAGTAACTTCCTAGCCTAAGTTCCTAATGTGTAACATGAAGAGAATACTTTCCAGCTGTAAGGATTAGAATGTACCTAGTATAATAACCAGCGTATAGAAGTGCTCAGTAATGAGAGTTATTAAAATAATTTGTATCCCTTTAAAATACATGAAAATAAGTTGTGCCCCCCGTCTAACCTAGATTAAAAATTCTGTACCAGGCAGTGCAGGCTACAGGATTCCCTTGGATGCCCTGCTCCCTCTCTTCCACGAAGCTCTGCTGCTTCTCCCTGTATCACGATCTTTTATTGCTCTCCTTCTTTCTTGTAAACTTCTCTGTCTGCTCTAGTCTGCCCTCTGCTTTCTGTTCCCTTCATGAGACATCCCTGAACCAACCTGTTCACACAGTTCCAAGCACATGCATGCACATACACACACAGCCTCAGCTAGCTGGGGGGCTGGACCCCACTCCCTGAAGGCTACTGAGGGGCCCCACAGTCCTTTGTGACACTGCAGACCCGAGTGTCAGTGCTGCTGAAGCTCCCAGGCTTCCCGCAGTGCCCGTGGACACAGCCCAGCCCTGCTCCTGCACCCTGACCAGGGGGTGGGGGCACTGGCCACCATCTGGCCAGGTGGGGTGGGCGCAGGGCTGCCCAGAACAGACTCAGGTCAACCTCAGTTCTGACACTTACTAGCCGTGTGACCTCTGGCAAATCACTGAACCTCTCTAGGCTTCAGCTTTCCCGTCTGTAAATAGGGATGTCACTGGTCTCTCTCCTGTAGCATAACTGTGAAGATTAGATGATAGATATTAGCCTCTGCTGCTGCTGCTGGCGGATACTGCTGTCCTGACCACTCCATGCTGTCTCAATTTAATAACACCTTTTCCTGTCCCACTGGGACTTCCCAGATCGCACTAGTGATAAAGAACCCGCCTGCCAATGCAGGAGACTTGGATTCAATCCCCGGGTTGGGAAGATCCCCTGGAGAATGAAATGGCAACCCACTCCAGTATTCTTGCCTGGGAAATCCCATGAACAGAGAAGCCGGGCGGGCAGCAGTCCATAGGGTCCCAAAGTCGGACACAACTGAGCTCACGCACACACACACACTCATATCCCATCAGTTTTTTTTGTTTGTTTGTTTTTTTCCATTTATTTTTATTAGTTGGAGGCTAATTACTTTACATCATTGCAGTGGTTTTTGTCATACATTGAAATGAATTAGCCATGGACCCATCAGTTTTAAGAAGTTTTAAGGAATATTCAAACCATATTCCAAACTAATTCACTAGCATGACCTCTGTGGAGGATTCATTTGGTCAAGAAGTCCAAACAGTTTTTAACCTGAAGCATAACCTCAGAGAGGAGCAGACGAAGCACAGACAGCCCTAGTAGAGCAGATAACTCAGAATCTAGGAATCACCCCCATTTACCGTGCAACCCGCTCCGCACACCCCCAGGTGACAGTCGCACCCGAGTCCCTGAGCCTGCTGTCTGCCGGCTCCCCACTGCTGCTCCTAACCCTCATTCCACAGTGAAGACACATGAACAGCAATTGTCCTCCCCTCACCTCCGCCCAGCCTCTGTACCTTCCGGGACGGGCCGAGAGACCCCCGAGCCCTGAGCTCTGCTCCAGCTGCTCCCCCACTCCTGGGCCAGGCCCCCCTCCTCCAAGATCTGAAAATCCTACAGGCTTTCTCGGAGCTCCTTCTCTTCTCATCCCCCAACTTCTCGCTCACTCCCTACATTTTTTCAAGACTGGCCCATGGATCACTCCCTTCCCCCACACCCACGTGCTGCCTCATCCAGGGGAATGTTATGACCCCTCTGACCTGTCCAGCACCCAAGCCTCAAGTAGTTCGACCTCCTCAACCCTTGGTTCCCCAGATTTCATCATCACCCATAACTGCTCTACCTCTCAAAGCTTAAATTCAGGTGCCTCCTCACTGATCACATTCCACTGTCCATCCCTCTTTCCACGTTTGTCTATTCATCCCAGTGACCCCGGATGGCCTCCCGAGCTTGGAGGCCAGTGATCCATCCCAGTGACCCCTCCCAGGCTTCCCCCCAGCAGTGCACCCTCTCCTGCTCTCTCTCCTTCCCCAGACCCCCTGACCCCCACTGGCTGCGGTACCCCATCACACAGCTCTTCACTCTTAACCCTACCTCAGTCCCTGTAAGTGCGTCTGGGTGTCCACCCCCCATTCCCCTCCCTCCCGCCCTCACCTGGAGCTCTCCATCTCCTCCCCTCTCAGCTTGGACACACATCAGCTCCCAGTCATCTTTTAAGGCCCACCGTCAACACTGAACTTCCCGTCTAGAAGCCATCCTGTGTCTCACTTTTCCTTTACAGCTCGGCTTCTTAGAATAGTAACTCCTGCCCACTACCTCCACTTTCTCACCTCCTGTTCACTACTAAACCCACTGAAGTCTGGCTTCTCCTCTTATAGCTCCACTGTATCTGCTCACCAAGGTCTCCAGTTTCGCCCTAATCACTCAGCACTAGGACATCCTGGATCCTTGTCGGACTTTGCTTTTTGCAGCACTGACTCGGGGACCCTCCCTCCCCACTCATCCCTTCCTCACCCATCTCCTGGTTGGCCTCCCGTCTCTCTGCATCCTTCATGGCTGCTTCTTCCTGCTTATACTCTGCATGTGGGTGTTTTCCAAGATTCCTTCTGTGCCCTTCTCTGTCTGTCAGTTCATCAAGGTCACTGACTTTACTACAAGTTCTATTCTAGTGGTTCCAGTTTCCTCTCTAGCCTAGACCATTCTGCTGAGCTTCACACCTGTCTTTCTAACTGCCTACACACCATCTCATTGTGGATGACCCAGAGAGCCCTGAGACTCCACGTTTCCAATATGACCCCTCATCTTCTCCCCTTAATCTGCTCCTCCCGCGGTACCCAGTCCAGTGACACCAGCACCCACTTCACCTCCCACGCCTGAGGCCAGGGAGCCATCCCCAGCTCCATCTGCTCTGGTCCCTCACTGAGTCGGTCCCCAAGCCCCATCAGTTCTGCCCCTCACAGTGCAACCATCCGTGTGCTTGTCTCCAACCCCGTCACCACTACCTTCGTCTACATCTCTATCCTCCTTCCCTCCTCACTGAGCATCTTCCTTCCAGTGCTTCCCCCTCCCTCCGTCCTCCAAGCCGCTGCCAGGGCAGCCTTTCAGAAACAGAGAGCTCATCACCTCATTCCCTTTATTGAATCTTTGTGTCTCTTCCCCCTGCTTTCAAGGTACAGTCCAAACTTGCAGCCTCCCCTGGCTACCCATCTCTCCAGCTTTAGGTCCAACATCTCCACTCCCCCTGCTCTGCATGCACGCACCCACAGGACACACTCTGACCATGCCGTTTCCTACCTGTGTCTCTGCACACACTATTCCTGCTTTCTGGAGTGGCCTCCTACTGTCTTCTATCTCACTGCCAGTTTTTTTCTGGTTAATCCTTCTTTGTCCTTCAAGATTCAGTTCAAACATCATGCCCCCTGGTTGCCTCCCCCATGCCCTCACCAGGCAGGGCTGAGTACTCCCCTTCAGAGCCCCCCCCAGTGGGGTGCCTGTGTGCCCTCCCTTATCACACCCCGTTGGGGTCACCTCTCTATATACTCTTCGGTGTCCCTACTGAACCATGAGTCATGCAGGAACAGACAGGGACCTCCCGTTACAGCAGAGCAGGTCCTTGATGAGTGTGTATTGGGTTTCAGAACGGTTCTAGTCCAGGTGTTTTGAGATGTTCTCAGAAGAGCAGGGAGCTGCCACGATCCACGCAGAAGTAACCGGGAGTGAATGGTGTGCCGTGGCGCAGGGGTGTTGGGGGGCCTGGGCGGGTCTCCCCGCTGGGCCCGCCCCTCAGTCTGACGTCTCTCCCTCCCTCAGCCTACATGAAGCGGCGGCACAGCTCGGTCAGCGACAGCCAGCCCTGCGAGCCCCCATCCGTTGGCATCGACTACAGCCAGGGCGCCAGCCCCCAGCCCCAGCACCAGCTGAAGAAACCCCGAGTAGTGCTGGCCCCCGAAGAGAAAGAAGCTCTGAAACGAGCATATCAGCAAAAGCCATACCCGTCACCAAAAACCATCGAAGAGCTCGCCACCAAGCTCAACTTGAAAACCAGCACCGTCATCAACTGGTTCCACAACTACAGGTACGGCCCTGCCCTCGGCCTGCCAGCCGCAGCTCTGCCAGAGGCACGTCCGGTCCCCAGCGCGCGGCCAGTCCCCGCGCGGGGGGCATGCTGGGGCCTGAGACCTGGTGTCCAGTCAGCTAGCTGGCCTTTTCTTCTTACTGGCATCTTAAACTCCCAGAGATGGAGAGTCATGCAGGTAGAGACAGTCCATGTCTTCTGTAACCAGAAAAAGTCTCCTCTTAGTGCTGTCGTTTAAACAGTGTATGGGGCTTCCCCGGCAGTCCAGTGCTTAAGACTCTGTGCTTTCAGCAGGGAGTGCAGGTTCAATCCCTGGTTGGGGAACTAAGATCCACATGTTATGCAGCATGACAAAAAAAAAATAGTTGGAAAAAAAAGGGGAGAGTGTAGTCATTCTTGATTCCACAAGAGTGAGCGTGTATCTAGTGATTTTCTTATGCTTTCTCAAGGTCTTTTATAGTGTTGTTTTCCAAATTAGTTTGATTCATTTTGTAATTAAATAAATGAAGTAGTGTAAGACCCTTTCTTTGGGGAAAGTCATGAGTTCTTGAAGATTTATTGAGCATCTACTAGGTCCACAGACACTGAGCTATGTGTTCGAACTAGCACTGTATCAACTTGATCCTCACAACTATATAAGATACAGTCTTGTCCACATTTAATAGATGAGAACATAAAGCTCAGAGGGGTTAAATAACTTACCTGAGCAGGAAAGGGCCCGGCGCTCTCCTGTAGAAAAAGGAACAGGGTAAAATGTTTGGATTAGATAGTGGAAATCCACTGACAGGTAGTGAATTGTTGATCACCCGTATAACCAAGGCTCCCTGCTGCTAGAGACAGAATTCTCAGTGGTCTAATGGAGAATCAGGCCCACTGAATGCCGTGTACATGGCCATCTCAATTGCTGGTTCCTGTCAGAACATCATTTTTTCTCAGGCTCAGCAGAACTGGGGTAGGTGCTCCTGGCGATACCAAGGTGACAGGTGCTTGTGAAGAGCCAGTGTAGGTAAGCAGCAAGCCACAGAAGCTCACAGGCAGCCAGGGGCTGGAGGGAGGAGTTGCGTCTCAAAGTGGGCCCTGCCTCATCAGATAGGTTCTGCTGGAGTTTCTGACAGGGCCCAGCAAAACTTCCAGGTTCTGAACAAATTGGAAAATGCTTAAATATTAGATAGGAGCCAAAATAATACCTTTATCACCAACAAAGGCTATGTTAACAATAGCTTAGTGTGAGAGCCAAATTGACCTGCTGCTGCTGCTGCTGCTTAGTCGAGTCAGTTGTGTCTGACTCTGCGACCCCATGGACTGTACCCTGCCAGGCGCCTCTGTCCATGGGATTCACCAGGCAAGAGTACTGGAGTGGGTTGCCATGCTGTCCTCGAGGGGATCTTCCCAACCCAGGGATTGAACCCAGGTCTCTTGCATTGCAGTCAGATTCT